ATAATTGTACCTCCAGTATTGACAATGCAATTGTTTTTGCGTTTTATATTTAATCCTTGAATCATTGAATTTTTTAAAAAAATATGAATTTTCATTGGTCGGAAGCCCCATTTTCGGAAAATCGATCCTACGCCCTGGCGTTGTTCGCATCTACTTAAAAAGATTATTAACGGTATAAATATTTCTTATTCCAATTCTAAAAAGAATATTTTATATCTAAATGATGGCACCGACGCTCGAAGACACTGCGAAACCACAAAGTATGCCTAGCGGTCCACGAAATGTTCTTCGCTCTAATGATTCAGCAAGCCTTTGGAATTGCACACTTTCGCCAGGTATTTGAGATATCAGCTTCTAAAATGTGTTTTTAGCATAATATTACTATTTCATGATTTTTCATTAATAATAGGATGGTCACGAGAAGAAAGTGACATTTTGAGGAAGGCGCTTATGAAATTTGGAATCGGAAATTGGGCAAAAATTATCGATTCACAGTGCCTTCCGGGAAAAACTAATGCTCAAATGAATTTGCAACTTCAAAGAATGTTAGGACAACAAAGTACAGCTGGTAAACTAAATATATCAATCTTATCTATGTTCTCTCATTAGCCAATTCATATTTTAAAACCCATTATTACCAGAGTTCGCCGGTCTACATATCGATCCCTTGGTGATAGGGGAAAAAAATTCAATGATTCAAGGATTAAATATAAAACGCAAAAACAATTGCATTGTCAATACTGGAGGTACAATTATCAATTTCTTATGAAAATTTTATTTTTTTTCATTAACATAAGAAAATTTTAGGAAAGCCTACAAGGGATGAGATCAAACGAAGAATTCAGCAAAATAAACAGCTGTAATGGTTCATTTTATATAATTTGGATACCTTTTTTTTGATAATTATGTTTTTAATGTTTGATTTGTTTCTATAATAAAAAATAGATATGAAATCTCTGAAGAAGAGTGGAACAATATTAAATTACCAAAACCCGAAGATGTTAGCATTACTTATCAGTTATGAATTTGAAATAAGTTTATTAATGGATCTTGAAAAGATTTTTACATGTTTTAACTTTGGATCTACCAACTTTAATCCATTGAAGCCACAATCGAGTAAGAGAACTCTATTAATTATGCTCTAGAGTAAATATTAATGAATAATATTCTCGTTCATAGTACTAGAATCTAAAAATGAAGATCTCCGACGTTTACAACAAGAACTGGAAAGTGTACGAGCACAGATAGCAAATATACGACGTAAGCAATATGAAAAGGATTGTCTTTAATCAATATCTCATAGTAAGTAATATAGATTGAGGTCAGAAGTAGAATCAAGAAACAACTGCATCCTAACACACAACAAAAATTGTCTCTGGCAACAGAATCGATGAATCATCTCGACTTTAATGGCAACTTAGAATTTACTTTTTTTTATACCCATGTATATCTTTCGCTCTTGTTCAGAAAATTTTTCTAAACTATATCTCAGCATCACTCTTGGCATTCTATGTGCATGTTGGTTCAAAAACTTGACAAGAGTCGGCTTTGACTTCTAGAATATAAATGCAATCAAAATCAACAATAAGCGCATGAATAGATTAAATAAAATGTAAAGGTCGAATATTACCTTGCCCATCTCCCTTAATGTCCATCCTGTTGCTTTATGTATTAAATCTTCTGCATCGCTTAAAAACATCTCAGCCAGTGTTAGCGTATCTTTATATTCACCATGGTTAATGAAATTTTGTGTAGATACTATTGCAATCCTTCTATCCCAAAGTCGTTTTGATACAGCTAATTTCTCATACAACCATAATTGTTTAATATCGGGTTTATCTTTTAGGAAATTACCAACGACCTGACTCGCTGACAAATCAACCAAGTCCCAGTTATCCACTCCTTCTCGCATTTGCTCGATAAAAAATCTAAAAATTTCTGCAAGTTCTGTTGGATCTTGAGTATTTTTAAATTTCGTAACTACATTTATAACCGCTAATAATCTTTCTTCATGATACTTTGATTTAATAAGTTTTTTTAAAATTGGATATGATAAAAAACCCAGGCTCTTTGATAAAGATCGCACGTCTGGTACTCTGACGCCCATTAAAATGTCTCCCTTTCCATATTCTATTACACGAAAATATTTGGCTAGAGAAGTGGCCCTTTGCTTGGAAGCTTTAGACTGAAGTTGTGCGTGAATTTCAGATAGTCTTATTTCCTTTAATTCTGACGCGACTGATACTGAAGGGACATTAGTTATCGGGCGTTCAATCGTTGCACGTTTTAATGTATTCCCTGTTGAATTTTGATCTTGTTGTTGTTTAAGCCTACTACTTCTTGTTTCGACCATCTCGATACTCGTATCTGTATGGTGTTCTTTACAGCTGTCATTGAGTAGATTAGTGGCGTAACCAAAATTCAGCAGATCGACCAAAAATTCCGGGTCAGAATTCAAACGATAATGCTGGATTAGGGACCTCAGTTTTATGCGATGCGATGCGCATAATAGGCCAATTTTAGCATAATGGATGCCAAGTATAATTTGATCAAAAAAATTACTTTGAAATTTTTTTTGTTAAATTCCGTTAAATTTTTCGTAATAATTATGGTAACTGCTACAGAATATTTGCTAAAAACTTCAAGTATAAATCAGTTTTTTATGTTAGTAGTAGAAAACTTTTTAGTAAAGTATGTTAAGCTATAATAAATTATGAAAAAAAGTCTATGATTGATAATTATTTAAAATTAGATAGCATATGTTTAATTCTAAAAAACCTGTACAATCAATTTTGCTCTAAGTTAAAATCAAGTTTTTTCAACAAAGTAATAATATTAAAGAAATATTTATTAATGATTTTTTTCATATAATATCTTAAGCTAATATATCTATTAAAAAGATAAATTATTTTAAATTATTTTTAATAAAATATTGTAAAAATAGTAAAAAAAATAATAAATTTTATTTATTTAATTAGTATATTTATTTAATTAGTATATTTATTTAATTTATAGATAAAGTTATTTTTAAACTTGGTCAACTATATAGTAAATATTTTTTTTATATCAAAAAGAAAAAATAAAATTTAAAATAAATTAATTAATAAAAAAATTTGTATTATAATTAATAAAACTACAGAATCTTGTTTTTTTTTATTTTTTATTTTATTTTTCAACAAGCTATTTGTAGATTATTTTTTTTTTTTTTTTTTTTTTTTTTTTTTTTTTTTTTTTTTTTTTTTTTTTTTTTTTTTTTTTTTTTTTTTT